CGAAAATCCGAGGGCTATTTGAAATAATCGGTGCTAAAATGCGCCGGTTGCCACTCTTCCTTTCCACCAATCCCATTCTCGCTCTTCTCCGAAAAGACAATCTCTCTCTGTCTCTCTCACCTCACAGTCCTTCTTTGTGTACTGTTTTCGTGTTCTCATAGCCTTTCTCTGCTTTGCCTCCAATTGTTTACTATTATTTTTCCTTCTTTCTGTTGACACCCTTTAATTTTGGTTCTCTATAACAGTTTAAAGCTGCAAAGAAATGGGGTTATACGGATGCGAGCGCAGGATAAGAGCATGCACGCTCTTTCCAGTTTTGAGAGGAGAGAGAGGGTTAGAGACTCGGAAAGGGAAATGCCGGAAGCAGCAAGGCTTAAGGTGAGGTGTGAGTAGGAAGGGTGGAGGGAAGTGGTTGATCCAAAGCTCGGTGTCTATTCAACGTAAAAACAACCGCACCCACTTCATCATATGCCTCATTCCATGCTTCTTCGATTCCCGTGCCTTTGATGCTATCAGATCCCTTTCATTTCCAGTTTTTGTTCCTTCGTCTTGGTTCTCATGCCCTTCTTCCCTTTTTGACTCATGGTATCACTCTCTTAGTCCTCCTCGACCTTTCTTGGATGGCAACCTGAAATTGCCTCGTGATCAAGAGAAGGACACGCCATGAGCTCTGTGGAAGACAAGCTCAAGGCACCAATGGGTTTGATTAATAACACCCCTCAGACTAACCTTCTCGACGAGATGAAATTGCTGAAACAAATGCAAGATCAAACAGGTTCGTTTCAATTCTGGCAATACGTTTTTTTTTTTCAAATGGGTATTGCTTAAATCTGCGTTTCTATGGATTTCAGGGGCCCGGAAGGCTATTAACTCCGAGCTCTGGCACGCGTGTGCTGGTCCGCTTGTTTCCTTGCCCCATGTGGGGAGTCTTGTTTATTACTTTCCTCAGGGACATAGTGAACAGGTGCCAATTGTTGCATTGATGATAATACAGGAAAGGGGGTTTCTTGATGCTTCTATTTATTTATTTATTTATTTATTTTTGCGAACAGGTGGCGGTTTCTACCAAGAGAACAGCAACCTCACAGATTCCAAATTATCCTAATCTTCCTTCTCAGTTGATGTGCCAAGTTCAAAGTGTTACCTTACATGTACGTGCTTTCGTTCATATTGGAATTTGGATCATCCATTGCAAAATCTTTGTTCTGAAAAGTCCTCTGCTTTTCTCTTCATTAATGTTTTAGGCTGATAAAGATTCAGATGAAATCTACGCTCAAATGAGCCTTCAACCGGTGAACTCTGTAAGCCAATACCTTTGAATTTGTAAACAGTTCATAATAGCATCTCTTTTCACGTTCAAATTTGGCCATGGATCAGGAAAAAGATGTCTTCCTAGTTCCGGACTTTGGACTAAGGCCGAGTAAACACCCAAATGAATTCTTCTGCAAAACTTTGACTGCCAGTGATACCAGCACACATGGTGGGTTCTCAGTGCCACGCAGGGCTGCTGAAAAGCTTTTTCCGCCATTGGTAAGGCTTCAAGTTCATGTCATTTCTTCTCTGCTGTTACCATTCATAGCCTCTGTGGTTGATCTTGAAACAGGATTACACAATGCAACCACCAACTCAGGAGCTCGTTGTACGAGACTTGCATGACAATACCTGGACTTTTCGCCACATCTATCGCGGTGAGTATGGTTGGATATGATAATCTACCCCTTATGTTGTTTTCCTGATGGGGGTATGCCTTGTTTTTTATAGGGCAGCCGAAGCGACATCTTCTCACAACTGGGTGGAGTCTATTTGTTGGAGCAAAGAGGCTCAGAGCAGGTGATTCTGTTCTTTTCATAAGGTAAGGTAGCGTTTTTGCCACTTTTTTTTTGTGTCAATGCTATGAAGTTTGAATAATTTGTCTAATGTGAGAATCATGTAGGGATGAAAAGTCCCAGTTGCTGATTGGAGTGAGGCGTGCTAACCGGCAACAAACAACATTGCCATCATCGGTACTATCCGCCGACAGTATGCATATAGGAGTTCTTGCTGCTGCAGCTCATGCTGCTGCTAATCGCAGTCCATTCACAATCTTTTACAATCCCAGGTTCCATTAACTTTCAAGAGCCTCAAGTTTAGATTTTTCCAACTTTACATGTGTTTCTTTTTCCCCACAGGGCATGTCCTTCAGAGTTTGTTATTCCCTTAGCCAAATATCGGAAATGTGTATTCGGAACTCAGCTTTCTGCGGGTATGAGGTTCGGGATGATGTTTGAAACAGAGGAGTCGGGAAAACGCCGGTGAGCTTGTTACGGGTTTGATTTTGTGTCAATAAATGATCTGGGATGTTCATATAATTGGATTGTAACGCTATTTGTTGCGCAGATATATGGGTACAATTGTTGGGATTAGCGATTTAGATCCACTTAGGTGGCCAGGTTCCAAGTGGCGAAATCTTCAAGTGGAATGGGATGAGCCCGGGTGTTGCGATAAGCAAAACAGGGTTAGTTCATGGGAAATAGAAACTCCGGAAAGTCTCTTCATTTTTCCTTCTCTGACTTCGGGTCTTAAACGTCCATTACACGGCGGATTTTTGGGTAAGATTATCCCTTTCTGCGACTTTCAGTGTACTCTAAAAGACCATAAAAATGGGAATGTTTCACTTTAGCAGGAGAAACTGATTGGGAAAGTCTGGTGAAGAGACCAATGCTTCGTGTTCCTGAAAATATACGAGGGGATCTTTCATATGCTGCGCCAAATCTATGCTCTGAACCACTGATGAAGATGCTACTGAGGCCTCAGCTCGTTAGCCTTCACGGAGCCACCTTACACCAGGATTCAGCTAACAATTTAGTGAAGATACAGGACATGAAGGACATGCAGCCAGAAACCAATTCTAAAATGAAGCAGCTTATTCCGACAGAAACTGCATCTCCCGGGAATCAAAATCCTACACAATCTGATCCCATAAATCCAAATTCATCTCCAAAAGAAAGTCTACCAGGAAAAGCGCACACTTCAGCGGCTACTGAAAGTGAACCTCCAACTGGAGCTGATGATGTTTCAACCAATCAGTCCAATACATTGCCCCCGGTCGGAGATTGTGTGGGGGAAAAACTCACTACTAAAGAAGTGAATATGCAGACCCTTGTGAACCAGCTTTCATTTATGAACCAGAATCAGATCCCCATGCAGTCATGGCCGTTGCAGCCTCAGCTTGAATCACTAATCCAACACCCACAACCAATTGACATGCCTCACCCTGAATTTACACTGGATGGTGATGGATGTTTGATTAACCCATCCTGTCTGGCTCTTCCTGGAGTAATGAGATCACCCGGGAACCTTTCCATGTTGGCATTGCAAGAATCCTCAACAGTCTTCCCTGAGGCTCTTAATTTTCCCTTACCCTCAACTGGGCAAGACATGTGGGATCCTCTTAATAATATAAGATTCTCTTCTAACCTGAATTGTATGGGTAATGCAAATGTTATGAGAGCCGTTTCAGACGAGAGCAACAACCAAAGTGGGATATATAGTTGTTCTAACCTTGAAATCAGTAATGGTGGAAATACTTTGGTTGGTCCTGCTGTTTCGAGTACTATTCTTGATGATTATTGCGCATTGAAAGATGCTGACTTCCCACATCCTTCAGATTGCTTGGTTGGAAACTTCAGCTCAAGCCAAGATGTTCAGTCTCAGATTACCTCTGCTGCTAGTCTTGGAGATTCTCAGGCTTTCTCCAGGCAGGACTTCCATGATAATTCAGGTGGTACTTCCTCTTGCAATGTGGATTTTGATGAGGGCAGTCTTCTGCATAACGGCTCCTGGAATCAAGTCGTACCGCCCATGAGAACTTACACCAAGGTAGGTCTGTGGTTTTTCTACTAGTTATGGTAACTTCCATGATGTTCTTAGTCTGATGGGATTGTATTTACATTACCAAGAACAAAGCTGTCTGTCGTATTTATGCCGTCACAATGAGAATTGATCTCAAAATTGTTACTGTGCTCTTGTTTCCCTACTCTCAAAATGACAGGTCCAGAAGGCAGGATCTGTTGGGAGGTCTATCGATGTCACTAGTTTTAAGAACTACGACGAACTGTGCTCCGCTATCGAATGCATGTTTGGACTTGAAGGGTTGCTTAATGACCCGAGAGGCTCAGGATGGAAACTGGTTTATGTCGATTATGAGAACGACGTCTTGCTTATTGGCGATGATCCATGGGAGTAAGTTTTCTTCTCGCTATAAGTCCGATGCTTGTTTGTTTAAATATCTTTAGCCTGAAGAGTTGAGAAATAGCAACTCCTGAATTCAACAAGTCATCTTAGTATTATATTGTAATCTTTTGTTGGATTCCCTGGGATGTCTGCAGGGAATTTGTGAGCTGTGTAAGGTGCATCAGAATCTTGTCACCCTCAGAAGTCAAGCAAATGAGCGAAGAGGGAATGAAGCTTCTCGACAGTGCTATGATGCAAGGCATCAATTGCTCCATGCCAGAAGGTGGCCGAGGTTAAGACTCAGTTTTCCTTAACCAGTCATGAAGGCCGATTCTTCTTCTTCGTTAGGCGAGAATCGAGTTTAGTATAATTACTGTCACAAGCTTGAAGAAGGCCGGGTGTTAGCATGAAGCTTTCGTCTTGATTGCTGGGAGCTGTAGTTGAAGTAGATTCAGTTCCTGCAAAATTGTACTCTTTCTGAATTCAGTAGAACAAGAAAAAAACTTCAACAAGTTAGCTATGCTGCGCCTTCTGAAGGATACCCATCAACCATTCATCTTGGTATGCGAGGTTCATGATGGAGCCTTATCTTTGTTGCCTGTCTTTCATTTGCATATTTCCGTTGTCTAGAGATTTTATAGTAAGATAATATATTCTAGAGTTTTTGCTCTGCCTTGTGTTTCCGTTGGTAATACACCAATTAATCCTATAAACTGAACCACAGGATAGAGATCAATACCAATCATAGAGCTTTAACTCGAAAGTGAAATTAGAGGTGGTACTGTGATAAAAGAAATCTCAAACGAGTCTTATTTATCAATATGGTGTCACCTTTATTTCAAGAGCATTCTTCTCACAGGCAGAATTGCCAATCGGCACTGAAAAACTAAGCATACACCATACAGTATTTGCAGCAATACCAACCCCGTTTAAACAGAGAATTTTCTTTTGTTTCAGAAGTGAAGGAAAAGAAAAAAAGAAAAAAACTGAATCTAATTAATTATGAAGCCAAAAATCACATTCTCCAACCAATGATCGGAGTCTTCCCCTATGCAGTAGTTTCCATCTCTTCCATCGCTATAAGCTACATCAGTAGAAGTGTTCATCAGTGATGGGTTTTGGCTTCAGCTTTTGCGTGTGACTTGGCCTTTGCCTGGCAAATGCACAAACATACAGCCAAAAGACACGTTTTTAGACAATCAAATTCATATTCTATACAATTAACTGATCAAGATATATATGACGGTCGTTTCATGTGCTTACATGCTGTAAAAAAACAAATTATACGGCATGGAGTTTAAGATGACGTAACCAGAAGAAACTCATCAACAAAAATGTCTTACAGCTAAATGCCTATGAACACATACAGCCAATTTTCTTTCAGAAAAATTTTGGGTCACAGTTGAGCCAATAAACAGGTACAAGATTTGAACTTTAAGTTTCCAACGAGACTTCTGCCTTAAATTAGAAATGCCTATGAAAATAAGGCAGTAAAGAAATCTTGCCTCCAAAAGAAAACAAGTTGAAACCATTTGAGAAACAGGTTAATGTTGAGTTCATGTCCATTAAGGAGTGAAAATAGTCATTATTAATATATATGGAGTTGATTTAGCAGAGGCGCCATACAATCATACTACAAAAATAACCATTTCAATAAATTTACGATAACAACAACGGTTGGAACAGAAGTTGATTCCAATTTACCTTCAGAACCTTGAGCTTAATGTTTCCGTAAACCAAACCAAAGGTGAATGCTGATGCACGGGCCACCTGTAGAAATCAATTCCCAAAAAAGATTCAGAATCTCAAATGAACCGATCCATCTCATTCCCAATAAAGGATATAAAAACAACATAATGAAGAAATACGAAAAAGAAAATAATTTTTTTTGAATCGCAGATCCATCCATTCTCACCAATTACCACCTCGTGGAGAATTCGGAACTAAAAAATCTAGATGCATTGAAATCCTATTCTAACCAGCTTGAAAAGAACAAAGTGGATACGGGACATCACAGAGATCGAGCTAAATAAAATCACTGCAAATGATTAAAGGTAAAAGAAACAGTAAATACCAGAGCGAGGGTGCTGGTGCCGGAGTAAGGGCCAGGAGGAAGTGCCATTAGATGCAAATTATGATATCAGTCGCCACAGAGAAATGCTTGGACTTGTCTCCTTCTAGCTCCAATGAGCTCGCCTTTCCCGCCTGGATCGTAGAACCCTAATTTGCTCTCAAATTTTGGATCCGAGTCACCTATTAAATATGGAACTCAAACTAATGGAGGGTAATTTTGGTTAAATGGCCTCCCCACCCAGGCTAAAATTGTAAATTTAATTATAATTATTATTCTAATACCAAATTATATAAATCATTATTTTACATTTTATGACACCGTTTCTTTCCCTTGTTACAGTCACACGTATAATCCAAAAGCCTTACGCGATGCCACGACCTGCATCGTCTCTGGTTTACCGGTAATTGAAAATGAGAAGAATAATGGAAGAAACCAGACTCGCCGGTGGATCAGTGAAACTCTTCCGTCGAGTCGTCTGATTTCCGATGAAAAAGCCATCGACTCAAGTCGTCGATAGTGCACTCAGCCTAGCATTTCGCCAGACATGATGATACTCTCGTTTATCGCCATCAGGTTTACGCCTCAGACTACTCTAACTCCTTCCTTCCCTTTCTTTTTATAATTTGTATCATCTTGTATTGTTCTTTGTTTCCTTATCACTTCACATACCTGAAATGTGTTGCTCAGTTGAAGTTCAAATTCAATTATTCCCAAGTTTTGTTCATCTGAGCTCTCTTTATTGTTGATTGAATCCGGGTGGCTCATTCTTTGCTCGAGGAAGATATCTCACGGTCATGACGATTCTAAATGTTTTTCTCCATTTTGTTTTTCTAAATGTGGCCAGCTGTTTGAATCGGGACTACTTTTCTTGATTTATAATTTTCAAGTAATTTTCAAGCAAATTGGTGTTCTTCGATTGGAAGACGCAAGTGATTCGTTCGTCCAAATGGAATGATGCACCGTCCGACTCGTTTAGCCACTTGAGGGCGTCTGATCACGGCACTTCGAAGTATGCATTTCTTTATTTGGTGGAAACATAGGTATCTGATTGAAGTGTGTTTGTGATATCTCTGCAGACTTATCTGTAGAGAAGCTCGTGCACTGAGATGATTTATGAACTTATTAACTAAGGAAGCGGGAATCAGCTAACTACGAGGTATCATTTTTCAGGCAGTAATATAGTCTTCGTTCTTCAATGTGAATCATCGAGTGTGAGCCTTAGATAGTCTCAATCGTTAAGATTATGCTAGACATGATGTCTGACCGAATGCTGTGTTTGATGAGAAGATCGTTAGAATAAGATGAGACGCGGGTTTGATACGAATGCTTGATGCTCATAGCTTGGATGGTTGGTGGCTGTAGTGAAATCTATGAAAACTGTGAACTGCGAACCAAATGAGGTGTTTTAACGTTTCTATGACTATTTTCTGAACGAAGCTGTTATATGCTTTGCCTAGACAAATGACTTATGAAAACCAACTCAGGATTCACAGGTATAACAAGTTCAAACTTGTGTACTGGTATAACAAGTTCTCATAAACAAATGACTTGTGAAAGCCAACTCAGGATTCACAGGCCATATTTAGATCTTGATGCGGAATCCTTTCACATCCAAGAAGACAAACAAGACTCAGCTAACATTCCTATGAAATTTAAAACGAAAAACATCTCTGAATCAGCCCTTCTACTCCACGGATAATGATTCTATTCTTTGCAGCCCAAGGTTGTGAAGACAGTAGCACCCCTCTCCTCTTTCAGGTCCTTCTGTAATTTGATCAACTGTGACAAAGTTACTGCTTGTCTTCGGCTTTTCTAGGCTGCAACAAGAAGCACACGGAATTTGAGACAATTGCATGTAATTCAAATACAATAAAAGGCATTTCTGCCAGTAAACCAAAAATGAACATGAGGTGCAGAAAAACAGATTTAAGAAAGAACTTCAAGTATGCCGAACTTACCACTTGGTCACATTACTTCCAGTCTTAAAAAACTTATTGAACATTTTAAACGTTTTTACTACTACATAATGCTTGGATTCCAGAATCAAGGCAAAAAGAAATCTGCAACACATGCTTCTCATTTCTTAACTTAAGAATCGATGGCTTAATGAAATTTTGCAAACTGGGGACACCATATTGTTATCAACGATGTAACGTCGGCGTTACGCTTGTAAAATCTTTCCTGGTTACTTGAGCAGCTTCGTCTAAGAACATGCTATTGAACTATGACAACCTCAGCTGGTAACACAAAATGAGTTTTTAGACAAACATGTAAAAATTCAAGCCTACTGCTAGCAGATATTATCCGCTTTGACCCATTACGTATCGCCGTCAGCCTCATGGTTCCACTTTGGCCTATTACATATCGCTGTCAACCTCGCAGTTTTTAAAAAGTGGTTACAGGGGAGAGGATTCCATACTCTTATAAAGAATGCTTCATTCCCCTCCAACCGATGTTACAAATGGTATCAAAGTCAGACGTCAGGCGGTGTGCCAGCGAGACGCTGGGCCTCTAAGGGAGGTGCATTGCAAGATCACACATTGGTTGGATAGGGGAACGAAACATTCCTAGTAATGGTGTGGAAACCTTTCCCTAACATACATGTTTTAAAACCGTGAAACTGACGACGATACATAACGGGCCAAGGCAAACAATATCTACTAGTGGTAGGCTAGGGCCGTTACAAATGGTATCAGAGCCAGACATCGATCGGAGAGCCAGCAAGGACACTAGGCCTCTAAGGGGGGACGAAACATTCCTTATAAGGGTGTGGAAACCTCTCCCTAGCAGACGCGTTTTAAAACAGTGAGGCTGACGGTGATACGTAATGGGCCAAAGTGAACAATATCGGCTAGTAGTAGGCGTGGACTGTTACAAATGGTATCAGAGCTAGACACTGGACAGCGTGCTAGTGAGGATGCTTGGTCCCCAAGGGGATGTTGTGAGATCTCACATTGGATGGAGAGGGGAACGAAGCATTCCTTATAAGGGTGTGGAAACCTCCCCTTGACAGACACGTTTTAAAACTGTGAGGCTGACGGCGATACGTAACAGGCTAAAACGGACAATATTTGCTAGTAGTGGGCTTGGGCGGTTACAAAACATCTCATCTTAGAAAGGAGGCCATCATGGTTTGAACAAATTTCTTCTAAACCCTTACCTAATTTTGAAGCTCATGGCTCTTATTGACCACTAGGCCTAAGGGGAAGAAAATTAGACTACATAACTCAATGTACGCAAAAGACCAGATATTTGTTTGGTGGGATAGTCAGTAAACTGAAGATAATCATCATCTACATTACTAATACATCAATTAAGAGCGTGCTTCATATCAATACACATGCATACCAGCGCACAGGCACAGATGTTTAGGACAAACATTCGAGTCAACTGAATTCCCAAATGCTAGGACGTTTCACAAAGTAATTGCCAAAACTAATTCTTGCTAAATAAGATAGAAGCACTGGGTACTCTTACATTAGCTTGAGATGCAATGACAACAAAGTACATGAAGAGAATGTATATATACGAGAACAACGAAGTAAGATTGCAAATACAAATTTCACAGTTGCAAAAATTCCACTCCAAAAGAAGAAAGTTCGTAAAGCTCTTTGTGTGCATATGTTGTTCGACAAAATGCCACATGTAGTGCCCAAAATGAAAACTCAACCAAAAGAGGACCGAGAAACGCTCACATAAAGGGAGAAGAAGAAGACGAACCTTGATACTGGGAGCGGGTTGATTGAGCTCTTCATCGGGAATGATAACTGGCCAAGTTTCCCCAGCCTCTCGGAACATTTGCTCGGTCTCAAGGAGTTGGCCCTTTTCAAGAATCATATTCCTGATTGTTTGAGCAGGAGTAGATGTAGCGTCAAAAACCTCTTCGACTCCGTTGACAAAGGTGACGGTGATCTGGGGCGGGTGGTCATCGGTTCGGCGCTTGACGATCAATTGGCAAGCGGGGTTCGACTCCTTGGCCTTGCGAGCATTACACTGCGCTAAGAACTCCATGCAAGATGGTAAGCGTGGATCTAAGGCATTGAATTCGATCTTTACTTTAGACAGGAACTTTAACATCAATGCTTCTTCCTCTCCGCCCGAACCTGCGATCAAAAATGATTGGGGACTGCGGGAAGAAGGTAATGGCCACCGTTTTTCTTTCAGTTTATTAAACGCTGGGTTTTGTCAATTTTTAGCCTTTTAAATATATTCTCACATCACATATACACAAAGAATTGTAAAATATTTCTGAGAATTAGGAATTTTCAATTACAACGAAAGCTTGATACAAGAGAATTAGGAATTAGGAACAAGTAATCTCTTACCAACCCAAATACGAGAGAAAGTCCAAAAAAAAACATTAATGGGCCTGGCCCAGTTATCTCTCACCAACCCAAATATAATAGAAAGTCCAGAGAACATTAATGGGCCTGTCCCATTTATCTGTTACCAACCGAAATAGAATAGAATGTCCAAAAAATAGTTCGAAAAAACATTGATGGGCCTGGCCCAGTTATCTCTTGCCAACCGAAATACAATGGAACGTAGAAAGAACATTGATGGGCCTGGCCCAGTTATCTCTCACCAACCCAAATGAAATAAAGTCCAAAGAATATTGATAGGCCTGGCCCAATAATCTCTTACCAACCGAAATAGAATAGAATGTCCAAAAAACATTGATGAGCCTGGTCTTTTACCAACCCAAATATAATAAAAAAAACTCCCAAGAACATTGATGGGCCTGGCCCAGTTATCTCTGACCAACCCAAATACAATAGAAAGTCCAGAGAACATTAATAGGCCTGGCCCAGTTATCTGTTATCAACCGAAATAGACTAGAATGTCCAAAAAAACATTAATGGGTCTAAAAATATTGATGGGCCGGGCTCAGTTATCTCTTGCCAACCGAAATATAATAGAATGTCCAAAGAATGATGGGCCTGGCCAGTTATCTTTTACTAAGCCAAATAGAATAGAATGTCCAAATTAACATTGATGGGCTTGACCCAATTTATATGTTACCAACCCAAATAGGATAGAATTTCCAAATAACAGTGATGGGCCTGGCCCAGTTATCTTCTGCCGACTGAAGTAGAATATAATGTCCAAAAAAAGCATTAATGGGCCTGGTCCAGTTATCTCTTACCAACCTAAATAGAATAGATAGTGCAAATAACATTGATGAGCCTGACGCAGTTAATCTTTTATCAACCCAAATAGAATATAATGTCAAAACAGAAAAAACATTAATGGGCCTGACCCAATTTTCTGTTACCAAACCCAAATATGGCTCAATTATCCTTGCCAGCCGAAATGGAATAGAATATCCAAAGAACTCTGATGGGCTTGGCCCAATTATCTCTTATCAACCCAAATAGAATTGAATGTCCAAAGAATATTGATGGGCCTTGCCCAGTTATCTCTTTCTATTTGGAAAAAATGCAAAACATATGCCAACTCTTTCAGCACTTCCTTCACGACAAACATTCTGGATATGTTCTGTTGTCCGTATTCGGCGTCCTGTGTATTTGAAAAAAATGTACCGTCGGTTTACGCTCAATATCCAACTGGACCCCAAAATCCACGGACCAAATTAATGAACAATGATAGTTTAATTGAGAGGAGAGCACTTTGATCACATTTTTTATTCCATTTATTAGTTTTGGTTTTTTTTTTCATACAATTCATTTTCCTGTCTTTCTTCCCACTTTTGTTGACTGTTTCATCACCACAATATCTTAACCCTTCTATGGTTACAAGCTATTAGCACTTGTCATTTAATAAGAGTGGTGCTCGTTCGTGTTAACATATGGAGACTACTAATGATATAAGCTCGCATGAAATGTGGCTCCTTACATGTATGGAATCTATTAGAATATGAGTTTGTATGTCAAGTCACTCCTTACATCCATATGGTGAGATTGTACTAGAATCATGCCTTATTAAATACGATAACACATATGAGTTAGTCTTTGTACATATCAAATTCTACTAGGGTCGTGGTGTATGTGATATGAACCCACATGCAAGGTCATTCCTTACATGAATATGAGATGATCTAATACCCTATAATGAAATCCGTACAAAATGATTTAATAGTAATATAATTGAGTTAATATAGTTTATAATAATGATGTAATAGAGATAATACAAAGCATCATTCATATTTTACCATTGTAACCAAATAGAGACACACAATAATCAGTTCTTATTTATATATTTTTTTTTTTCAATTTTCTCCAACGGTAGAGAGACTTAAAACAATAACGAAAATTAAATATTAAATCCAAACAGAGAAAGCCCGAAATTGACGACAAGTTTGAGTCACTGAATGTGCACCCAAATTCCCTCGCTCGGAATTTCGCGATGAACAAGGTATAATATGTAATATCCCGGCGGTGCAACGTTACCTGATTCCGGAATTGTAACCTCAACTTCATATGTCATATTCCCTCTACGTCTAAAGTTCCTGCCGGAGAGAACCAACAGCCTCTGATTCATGGAGAACGAATGAGTGTTGAACGCCGGCGACAGAATCGTCACCGACACCCTTGTCCGATCAACTTTTCCGGGGACTCCGAAAGGCACCTTCAATGCTTGCCCACGGAGGAGATTTGCGGGAGAAACTAGGTTTTTGATTGAGGGTCGTACATATGAAAATAAGGGGTCTAAATACCAAGGGGAGAATGCTTCTAAGCTTAACTCTGTCGGGAAAAGTACACCGGTGAATTCGTAAAGCGCGTGCGGATTACTGCCGCCGACGAGAACACGACCATCGCGGAGTAATATCGCCGTCGAGTGGTACATTCGGGGAATGGTGGTCGCCTTTTGGAATGTGAATCTCCTACCGAACGGTATACTCGGGCGGTACAGAACAGGGTTCAAAACCGGTTCCCGACCGTATTCCCAACCGGCGGCGCCGGCAGAGGCTCCGTTAATAAGCAAAACCTGGCCGTTTGGAAGCAACAACATATCAGGCATCACCCAAGGATGCGGCATTGTTTCCATGACCCACTTGGGATCCGGGTCAGTAATCTTAATTCTGGCACAAGTGTTCAACGCCGCTACAAAATTATTACGTTTGGCTTTCTTAAGAGCACCTTTTGGAGCTCCCCCACACACCAATACCTCAACCTCGATGAATTCAGTATCCAAATTTAAGGGAAGCATCACGGCGGAGCCGGTACTAGGGTAGCATCTCGGATCGCCGCCGGGAATCGTCGGAAATGTTTTGACGACTCTGTCTTTGGTGTAATCGAATAGAATGGCTCGATTGTTGGAAAATATGAACAAATTTCCATCCGGTTGCAGAAATACATATGGATATAAATTGTTTTCGATATTGGGATCGCTTGTCTCCGCCAAGAAAGGAAGATCGAACACGGTTTCAGTTGCTGTTCTTTTAGGATAGAATTCGTAATTGAACTGTTTCTGGCCGCCGATGATGATTTGTCCGCCGTCGGGTAGAATATGGTTAGTGGCATACCACCGGCGGGCCGATAGTCCCGGACGCTCTTCCCAATCGCACGTGGGACAGGGGCTCAACATTCTGATCTGCCGTTCGCCTTTACCGTCGCCGCCAGTTTGGACGAGAGTGCCGTTGGGGATTACGGCGCCGGAGGAACACCAAACGTCGGATTTTACCATGAGTGGTCGGAATGTGTTGGTGATGACATCGTACTCAATAGAATGGGCCGTACAGTCCTCTTTTATTTTGCCTGTAGGGTCTCTTAGGCATTTTCCTTGGGGCAAAGACAAATTGGATGCACCGAAGTCGGTGCGGTCGAAAATGACGACGCGGTCGTTTGAAAGCAACTGCGTGTGCATGGACGATATGCCGACGTTTTTCAGCAGCAGCTGCCAGCTCCCTCGACCCTCCTCCGTGAGAGGCTGAGCGGAGAAGAGAAGCATTTGGGCAAAAAAGAGTGATAAAATGAGTGAAGGAGTATACATATTTTGAGCTGGTGTTGAGTGCATGGCTTCAAGGCCATTGGGTTTATCTATTTATACACATGTTTGCTTACACTTCGCCCACCACTTATAACAAAACGCGTGGAATCCTAGAATTCACCAAAACCATTTGCGTTAAGGAAAAATTGTCGTTTCTTTATGCTTTCTAAGGTGTTCACCCAATCATTATGCTCATTCTTCCGTCATTAATTGTTTTATTATAGCCACTCTATCTTTATATTATTTACATAAGATTTTAAAATTAAACTCCCGTTAATAAAATTCTCTACTTCTGTTTATTTAATATTTTCCAGTTTCCAAATTGATTAATTCTTTTTTTTTTTTTTTTAATTTAAGACAGGAAATTGAAAGTTTCTTTTAATAGGTCTATTAAACATATATTTAAATATTAAAAATATAAATATATTTTTTAAGTTATTACTAAATTAACACATTCTAAGAGTTAAAAACTAAACTTAGTGATAGGATTAGGAAGACTCATCTGAAAATCAAGACATTAGTTCATGATTTTTATTTAGTTTGTTTTAGAATCCTTGCTTATTAAAATACATAACATTGTAAATTCGATTTAATTGAATTAAATAATTATCAAAATTTTAAATTAAAAATTTCTTTTTCCTTCTTGAGTTTCGATTTTAATTTATTTTTCTAAAGAACAAAAGATCCTCATACACCAAAAAAACATCTTTTTAATGGATGTAATCAATTTAAACCAAATTTATACTTCTAATTTTATCAAATTTGACCCTAAATTTAAATAAATATTACCATCAATACTCTTTAAAATATTTAATTTTAAGAAATATGTGTGTAGTCTTTTCAAAAGTTTTCTTTTATGTATTTAATGAACTATAAAAAAATCTATACTATATAAAATCGATACAAATTTAGATAGAAAAATAAAATCATAGCTGATTTTTTTTTGTTGAAATTTATAATTTTTGATAAAGTTATTTAACGATTAATTTATGTATGGATCAAATGTTTTTCTTTTTTACCCTTTGTTAATTAAAAATTGTAAGTGAATTAGCATTTATTTTTATTTTTTCTTTAAATGAATGGACTCACAACCAAAATTAGATAAGCATTTTAGTTTTCCAGCGAATTCTTGGACAATGCCAATGGTGTGAATAAATAATATGTTATTTTGAAAGAATATGAGTTGTATGGGATAATTATCCTTCAAAATCCCTTCTGGTTATTTAAT